ATCCTTTAGCAAGATACTGAACCCCAAATTGCTCCCAAAGGCTGTTCCATCGGTGTGTGAGTGTGTTTGAAACTGAGTAGCAGGTGGCACCTTAGCCACCAGTGTATGAATGTGTGTGTGAATGGGTGAATGTGACCTGTAGTGTAAAAAGTTCTTTGAGTAGTTGGAAGATTAGAAAGGCGGTATACAAGTGCAGGTCCATTTATTTATTTAGTCTCTCCTTCAAACTCAGTGCCAACTAATTTTGATCGATCTTCATGCGCTGCTTGGACGGACATGGACAGAATACGTGCCTAAAGATGGCAGACAGTTGCAGAAATTTTAAATGGCTGAGCAGGCAAAAATTTGCATGTCGTGCCGACTGCTTCAAAGCAGTTTGTCCCAGAAATCAATGCTGAATGTAACCTTTCCCACTTAACACAAAAGCCAAATGTAAGTTGGTGTTGATGTTTTTTTTGTCCAGTGGGAAAGGTTGGGTTAAGAACTGCGGCATCATCTGGTGTGATTTCACCAGCTGTGATCATTGTGCTCAACCCCTTTTAAAGTGTGTGTTTAGTGCTGGTGTCCCATAGGCTCCACATACCAATCACCAAAAACTTTTTATCAGCAGGTGCAATCAGAATGTGTGTGAAGCAACATCTCGAGTGAGGACGTCCTTGTTTATGCATGTTTGTGGCTATATGCAGTGATCTGACTTGTTCCAATCCCCATGTGTTTGCTGCACACAGTAGGAAAATACTCATGAATAATTTAGATAAGAAATAAAAGTGTATGTTTACTGCCTTGGCTGTTTCATAAACTAATGCAACCATTTCTCCTTCACCTAGGGATGCTGTGTGGATCTGAGGAAAGCATTTGACAGTGCACACTCTCCTCACCTGTGAGATTTCGGAGAACTCAGTCGAGATTGGGGAAATCAACCGGAAGAAATAGAATAGTGTTTGTGTCTGAACCTCAATATTCTCCTTCAATCTTTTATGCAACATCTGCTGTTTTCCCGTTCACACATTTTCACTCTCCCAAGCCTTCATTCAAATACACATTTCCCCGGTTTCAGTGGTGTATGACCACTTTAAAGTCTCTGCATGTACAATCTGTCCTCAGGGATCCAACCATAATGAATGGTTAAGCTGACAGTCATCGGCGAGCAGTGAGGGCTTTTTTGCATAAATCTGGACACTCCCCTCACAGCCTTTGGCAGGTCAATAAACGGCGTAGTAGAGAGGAGATTAAGGAAAGTGGTGGAGGGGGGGATTTTCCCTACTTGTCAACTCTGTGTTGTTCCACTCATTAAGCACAGTGAGATTAAGCTGGTGTCGAGGCTGAGGGGGATCTGTGGTTCGTGGCGGGTTGGATCGGCATGCATGCAGTGGGCGCAGTCAGAAGCTCGTCATAGGCCTATGAACAGGCAGGGCTGCGAGGAAAACAGACAATTAAATCAATAACACAACAGTCAGCAGATCACCGCGCCAGCTACTGCGCCCCCCCTTGCTGTTTTGGAATAAAAAACTCATTTTGAAAAAGCTTTTCTCCTCTTCAGCTTCAGGTTACTTACACAAGTAAAGAGTTGTAAAAGTTTGGTTCTGTTGTCATTTTATGACATCTCTACTCTTAAACCTACAACTCCAAAGTAATCAAAGATAACCCAAGTTAAATAGACGGGCATGCCAAACTTTAAAATATAAAATTCACTTTTAAACACTTCAAGGTTTCGGAGCTTTATAGTATTCACTCTGCAGTACATTACCAAACTGGTATCAACAATTACTGTGAAAGAAATTTGGCAAGATTTTAGTTTGACTAAAATCTCCAGGGCAATCTCATGAAGCAGAGTGCCAAACAATGAAACTGCGTATGACTCCCCGGGAAATTAATAGAATTATTTCACTGACTTTACTGCCAGCTCTCTCAGAGTTACTTCTTCACCTTTTCACCCTGTAAAGGTTTATAGTGCGAGTACTTAAATCAAATCAAGTAACGTTTTATTTATCAAATACAAAATAATACACACTGTGGGTAGTAAGATTCTTTTGTGCCTATAGCTCCAGAGCAACTAACAAATAGGAAAAAATGAATACAACAGAATAAAGTCACATAAAATAAAACATTTTACAAAAGGAACAATAAAAGAGAATGTTTTAAAGAGGTGAAACAGTAAACAGTGAAACAGTAAGACCATGAGTGAGTTTCAGAAAAATTTAAATATAGTCATATGTAGTATATGATTTATAATAAATTGTAATGATGAATTATGAATTGTGTGTAATGAGTTATTGATGCATGAAGGTCACCGGTTCAGCACCCCGATGGCCTACAAGAAAAAAATATAATGATAAATTTAATACATACAGAGGCACATATATTCATACAGTGCAGTATATGCATATGAAAGTATAGCATGTTGGAGTGGTGAAGGTCAACTGCTAGGCTGCAGACCATCAAATAAAAAAAAAAACTGTTTTTCATTTAGCGAGTCATCCCTGCGTTCACAGCAGCTTTAGCAGCCACCAAACGTGGATGTTTTTCTTTCACAAGGTTGGTGTTTTGTAACAAGCTTGTTAAATCACAAGTGTCCACTCCACCTGCACTCCTGACGAGACCACTCCCTTCAGGCCTGTGAGTGTCTTTTCTCTCCAAAGATGCCAGGCGGGACAAAGAGAGGACTGATGTGAGTGGTGTATGGACTTTTCACCTTTCATAATGTTTTACTCTATTCATCCTGTACGTATTATTTCAAGTCAACATATTGTTTTGTGCTTATTTTTCCAAGATTCCTGAGTTTAAACAGTTGTTAAAGAGGAATGCCATAGTGGATGCATTAATGACATGAATTAAATAATAACCTAATTTACTAATATTATTTGTATTATTATTATTGTTTAACATTATGCAGAGCGGTAACATTTTGTTTCAATATTTCTTTTTATAGAAAAAAGTCATCTGACAACCACCTAAGAACTATTCACCCACCATGTCTGTATTGAACAGTTCCCTGGATCCTGTGCTTGAATGTGCACCCCAACATGTGAACCAACGTCAGCAGGTTTTTCACAGCCAGTTGCTGCGTTTCCAGCTGGGATTGTGCCAACCAAAGCAGGTATTATTATCTAAAACATGATCTTTTCCCAACCATTACCTAGTGGTTTCTATGCCTAAACCCAACACGTTAACCACAGCATTGTTGAAACATAAAGGAACATTAAGTTTCAACATATCCACTAAATAATAATGTACAAGAGTAACGGTGGGTACACATCTTTTGGTTTGCAGAAATTAACAATGCCAAAATGTATTCTGGTGATTGGGTTGCAACTATAGGGCAACTTTGATTTACTTTTAGTTATGTTCTTTATTTAGTTCCCCAGCTCCTGGGGAAAATAACTCGGTGACTTTGGTTTGCTTAATGACTTTCTTCACCTGCTAAAAGGATTAAATGTCTTTTGTGATTTTATCCATACTGATACAGCTTTCATAACGGAATTTAAGGAACTTTTATTTGCACTTCTGCTACTTTAATTGCATGAAAACAATCAGCAGTTATTTTTTAATGTTTAATGCTAATGTGCAGTGTTTCACCGCATATAAACTAAGCCTAGCACCCCCTATGTTTAAAATCTTTATGTAATTCTTGAATCTGTCAAATTTTTCTGGGGCACCCACTAGCTCACCTGGTAGCGGCAGGCGCCCCATGTACAACAGCTATGTCCCTGCCGCAGCGTCCGCAGGCTCCATTCCAACTCATTGCCCTTTGCTGCATGCCATTCCCCGTCTCTCCTCCCCATTTCATGCTATAGCTATCCCAACAAATAAAGGCAAAAAGCCCCAAAAATATATTTTAAAAAATCTGATGACACAGTTTTTGTGTAGAAAATTAGTGCAGTCTATGTGCATCTCTTTTTTTTTTTTTAGCTCATCCATTCTCAGTGTTGCCAGGGTATTCCCCCAATGTCTTTTTGAATACTGCCTCTAGGAGGTGCAAAGAAAGAAAATTCTAAATCCTACACACAGGAACTTTAAATATAGCAAACTACAGAAGTGAAAACTCACAGAAATAGATAAATAACTAAAGGAGGCAGTATTCATTGAGGGGCAATGATGTAAACTAAAGAATGTTGGCTTTCACACAGTGGTGTTAGCTGTGCTAAGCTGTATAAAGTTATTCTCATGACCTTTTTCTCACAGTACAGTCATTTGTTTGTGCATACCGTAGCCCTTTAACTTCCAAGACAACAGCTCGTTCACAGAGAGTATTGCCACAAACTAAAAGCTTGTTTTCCAGGTGTATACATTTTTAGTCATCTTCGTGACTTATTGCAGGTTTTTCTTCTGTTTCCATTGACTAAAGACATGTTGTAATTATTGGATTGTGTTGGGCAGTACAGGTTAACAGGACTTTATACACCATTAGGCACAGCCACGAACTTCCAAGAAACTTGGAGAGTTTGAAGAAATCTGAGACGTCGGTATAATCAATATTGCTCGTTTTCCAGGGAAGTACATTTCTCTCCGTGCCTCTCACACTGTCTCACTGTCTCTATTAGGCTACTCCCTCTCGTCATTTCATTTTCTCTCTCGTCTCAGTTTCTCATTAACACTGCTGCCCTGTTGGCTCCTCGCCTCCTCTGTTCCCCCCCTTTGTGCAGCTACAGAGCCACTTCTCTTTTTCCTTTGCTCGATTCAGCCCCCTTCACCATCTCTCATAAACAATGTGTCAGATGTATGAAAGTAACGGGGGGCAGGAGACATCCAATTAAAAGCACAATGCATTATTATTTCACAGCTCCCCCTCTCTGCCGTCTCCCGAAGCCCTTCAGATTATATAACAGCTCAGTGTCACCGGAGCCAGCCTGTGGAGGACAAGTTAAGGGGGTCTTCGCCGATGATGCAGCTCAGCGACTCTGGACTTTCCCCAGCAGCTTGCGTACTACCCCTCACTCCTCCTCCTTCTCCTCCTCCTCCTCCTTCCTCCCTTTGCCATATCCACCCACCCATCCACCCACCAGCCCACCCTCTCCCTGCCTTCCTAACACACACATACACACATACACTCAATCACGAATGCACAGGGATTGCAGCAACAGCAGCAGCACAGCGAGATGGAGATCTCCGCTGCGTGTGTGAGTGCCTATTCCCGGTGAGTGCGGGGACAAGAGCGAATGAGTGTCAGTGATGCTTGAATGAGGTGTATAAGGGAGAGGAGAGCAGAGTAAAAGGCAGGAAGGGGGATATCAGTAAGGACCCGATGAGGTTTTGAGGCAATGTCTTTCTGCTTTTTTCCCTCTCCCATCCCGATAACCTGAATCTTTGCCGGATGTGCCACAACTACTCCAGCTGTCACTGCACCGGCTGCCTCTCTCTCTGTCCTCCCGCAGCCTGTGAGAGCTGCTCCAGTGGCTGGACGGTACCCTGGCACCCACTGAATACATGGATGAACACTGGCTCTACAGGGGATCTGCGCTTTCTTGTCCTTTGCACCTCTGATCTGTTTCTCAAGGTAAGAGTTGTGCTTCCTTTTCTTGGAGTTGCACACATATTCACAGGTACTGCAAAAAGAGTGGGGGATTCATCCGGTCTGCCTTTTAAAATCTTAATTTAATCAAAGTGGATATCAGAGGCATGCGAGAATTGGGGTAAAATACTGTTAAAGTCTTTTGGCTAGTGATGCATGCATGTGTATGATCCCTGTGTGCATTAGATATGGATAAATTAGGGAGGGGGCATTTCTGCATCCAAGCATTGAAAGGTTTAATGACTAATCAGGAGAACACGTAAAGGTTTTTCCTTCACAACTGAACATGAAGATGAGCAGTGATGTAATTTGACTTTGATTTATATACTTATCATAATGCGTGTCTTTGCAGCCTTTGACAGACATGCAGTATTTATCTGATGATGCAGAGGCTGATTATCGAGATAGCTGTACTTGTGAATTGTCTGGGTTTGATAGTGAGGAATATTGATGAGCACTCACTAATAGACTATTTTATATTGTGCTGTGATAGACTGCCAGGATGATGATCATTTATTGGAAAACACCTATCGCATTAAGTGGCGTAGACTGTATGACAAATTCATATGGGATGAGTGATTTGCTCCTCAAGGCTAAATTTGATAAGAGGTGGATTCAGACTTATCATGACTAATGACATGTGTGATCCAGGAAGCTCTGGGGTGCTGCATCACATAGAGAGCTGCACTTATATTTGCTCAGTCGTTGCCTCTCTCTCCCTCTCTCTCCCTCTCTCTCACCCTCTCTCTGTTCCTCTATTTTCCACACGTCATTCCTTGACTACCTGAATTTACAGGAAACACTGACAGGGTACAGCTTTAAGGTGCCAAACACTCTGTGGCTTGTCTGTCTCAGCATCTTTTTCCCTTATAAATCATCTTTTACATTATACCCAAGTCAATCATCACATCGACCTGAGTACACATGTATGCCCATAGCCCAGCCCCTTATTAATCAATGAACTCATCAGGGTGATGCACTACAGATGTAAGCTCTGGCGTGAGAGGCAGACACTGTCGTCTCCATAATTTTATACCAAAAAGAAAAAAGAACGACAATAGCAGGAAAGTATGTGATCACAAAAAAATGCCCCTCTGCATATCAGCCTCTCCAAACTTACTCTTCCCAAGGATCCATTTCACAGCCAGTGCTCTCATCCAGGAGATAGAGGGATGGGACCCTTTTAAAACCTCCCGCTATTCCCCATAACAGAAAGTGCTTCTCAGTGATAAATCTTTTAAGCCAATGTCATAAAGCAAACTTTCACAGGTGTAGCCGGCAGTACGGATAGATACAGATAGCTCTGGACGACTGCTGGAAGAAGATGGTTTGTGTATGTGTGTGTGTGTGTGTGTGCGTGACTGTGGAGATCTCAAAACAGGCTGGGATTGCTTTCAAAAATTGAACAAAAGACAATATAAAAATCTGGGACCAAAGGGGCTTACATTGTTGCAGGAATAAGAGCGTGATGGTGTGTTGAGAAAAAGATTACTGCAACGCGGAGGGTGTAGGGGCCGGAACCTATACTGTACAATTGCACAGTGCGAAAAGGAATGCATATGACTACGCACGCACATAACCTTATGGATCGGACAAAGGCAGCGATATCTCGTCCTTTGCATTGTGCTTAGTTGGTGCAATGTCACGCTCTGTAATATATGCAAATAATGAGAGAAAATCCCTCATACAAAATGGATACATTGCACAGCAACAATGCATACAGTAGAACACACGGGGAGATGACAAGCACAGCAGCATTTGCCTTGTGATACACACTTGATTGCACATACTAGTAAAATGATGAGCTGTAGCACTGACAAACATCCCTTGATGCACTTAGATTGAATAGATGGTGCAGTGGAGGTTACTGTATGGGGCCACTATAATACCATTAGTTAACCATTAATGAGAGTGGCTAGACAGTGTTATCCTATGTAAATATCCTACAGATGCACTTCAGTAATTATTGCGTTGATGCAGGCTGTCAAGGATGTAAGGCAATCTACGCCGCCTCTTTCTCCCTGCCTTGCGATGGGGCATAAATCATGAGTCAGCAGTGTTGTAGACCTGCTGTTGCATGGAAAATGGATCCAACCTCCCTATTAACAATTTTTACACACAACCACATTTCAACGTTGTGGTCATAAGAAATCAATCATGATACTGTAGCGAAAGGTGCTTTTTTTTCTGCCCTCCCTTGTACATGCAGCGTTTTAGCGTGAAGAACTGAAGGGCAATTGCAACAGACAACGTGGTCTGCCAGGGTACATAAGGAGATTTCAGAGGATTACTTTTGCAATTTTAGAGTCAATGCATTATTCATAATCCTTTGGATAGCTGAGGCCAAATCAGGGAAGGACCTCAGGTCATTAGCAGAGATATAGCTTGCTTTGAGAGGAGGAAGAGGAGGAGTAGGAGAGAGAAGACGAGGAGGAGAAGGAGATTCTCGCTCAACCATGTGAATATATTCATGTGTCACGTCAGCCTCTCCTCTCAGTCTGCGTCTATCTGACTCCCAACAATAATAAGTCATTGAGAAGCTTTTCTTGATTCCCTTTGTGTGAATTACCATTTAGCTGCTTTACATGCCTTACATGGCTGCATGGGAAATTGTTCGCGCTCAGAGGAGACTTCCTGCAGATGTGATTACCTTTTCAGTGGTGTGAGATTGGTATTTCTGAGTGTGAAATAGTATGATCCCGTGTGAATCAGCCTCGAACAAATTTCTTTTTATCCGTGGAACCGCTTCTGACAAACAACTTACGCTAAAATCAAAGTGCATACTAGGCTATGTTTCAGAACAAATACCACCCCCAATAAAATCCAGCTGCTCCGAAATTCCAAAACAACTGTGCGTAAATTCATGACACAGCATACCATATTGTTCTTGTATAATGAGACTGAGCTTAGTTGCTTGTTATTTTTTTCTCCTCATCTGGCACTGAATGCATTGCGGCGACTGAAGTGACACTAGAAGCGGTTGGCATGCGGTTTCTTTGCAGCATTAATGGGAAGCAAGATGAAACATGGTTGCCTCTAAATATATTCCATTTCATCAACACTTTGAGCTGAGGGTTAGGTTACAGTGGACAGTTTGCAAGGTGAAACGCATGGCAGGACTCCCAAGAAATACAACCTCATGCTTTTTATTATCAGCCCCTGTCTGCTGTTGTGTGCGTGTGTGTATATGCACACACTCCGTAAGATGCTGGCAAGGGCCTCTTTTTGAAAAGGTGACAATACGGCCCACACACACTAATACATACACTAGTGCATGTATGCACACTCACACAAAAGACAATGCAGAGTCACCAGGCATGAAGGCAATTTTGGGATCATTAAAAAGTGTGTATTCTCTTTATGCTCTTTACACGTTAAGTCATTACTGGGACTCAACATGCACTGCAGATATAGATCAGCTGCAGATCAGAAATTAACATTAATCTTATCTACCCATTCCTTTCCTTTCACTAATTTCATGGGAGTAGTGAAACTGACAGTTAGGAAACGTCTCTTCAGTATGAATTTCCCCAACAGAACAATCACATTGATGGATTTACAATGTCTCCGAATGATAAAACATGATTACTTTCAGGGAAGCGGCGACACCATGAATAGCTTGCTTTTGTGTGGTAATAAATGATTCATTGGAGTTTATTTATCGCTTGGTGTCTTGTCATATGAAAATGATTAACCAGCTCTTTCTGATGTTTCCTTTCAACCATATCAGACATCATTTCATTTCCTTGTGCTGCTTGATATATTTCATGCTCCAGCTATGAAATGTGTTTCTGCGCGGATGAGACAGAAAATGCAGTATTTCTCATTTGATCGTATGGACCTTAATTTGAAACTCTGCATGGGGGGTGACTACAGCGGCAAGCTGTTGTATTACAAAAGTCAGTTTTTGCTCCTTTGTCTGGTCAAAGCAGTTTGTGATTTATTACATAATCAATATACATCAAGCTTTGCCATTGGAAATATGTAAAAATGGGGGAAAGATTTCATAATGATGACATAAAAGTGATTTAAACTATTTGGTAATGATGAATTAAACGTAAGAAATTAGTCAGGCTACTAATAATGTGAGAAATTCATGTTAATGTTTGGTGCATCATTAGTCATGTATGACAGCAGTCAAACAAGACAGATCTTGTAAATGAAGCACACTGATTTCAGCACATCATATTGCTGCATTCACAAACACAAGAAGTTATGATTGGCCATTCCTTAGCCCTGGTTGAACAAGCTTTGAACACAGCAGCACCTCAGTCAACTTTCCCCTTTCCTGTTGTGTTAGATATGCAATGTGCTTGGGTCATATATGTTGAAAAGAAGACCAAAATTTTGATTAAAAGATGTGGCTGGGGGACTCTCACAGTCTTCACAGACACATTGCAATGTATATAGTCACATCTTGAGTTGGCTGATGTTATCAAAATGCTGGCTGGAGTTAGCCTAATGTCAGATCACCAACATCAGCCAGGTTTGCTTCCTCCTTATTTCTGTGGTATTGGTAAGTGATTCGGAAAAGGACAGATACTAGTAGGTCTCTGAAAAGGCTAATGACCCTTTGTATTATCACTGTAAGGCTACGTGCCGCCCAAAGTAACTAATGCAACTTCCTACAGTAAAGACAAACCAGTGTGAGGTCAGCACCATGGTCTGTATTCAGTAATAAATGCATAGAGTAGCCTACTTAACCGATCCCCAGAGGGGGAAAGGCGACACATACCTGGCTTTGCACAGGCATTATTGACTGATAGTCTTGTCATCGTCTGTCTCTTCTTCTCCCTTTTTCATTGAGACTGGAAGCTTCATTTTGCACCATTTTGCCTTGTTCAGAATGATTAACATGGCGGCACAGTGGTGCAGTGGTTAGCATTGTTGCCTTACAGCAAGAGGGCTCCTGGTTCAAACCTGGGGTGGGGGAGCCCTTCTTTGCGTGGGTTTCTCCAGGTACTCCGGCTTCCTCCCACAGTCCAAAGACATGCAGGTTAATTGGTGACTCTAAATTGCCGGTAGGTGTGAATGTGAGTGTGAATGCTTGTCTGTCTCTATGTGTCAGCCCTGAGCTTGTTAGGCATCCTGTCTAGGGTGTACACCACCTCTTGCCCAGTGTCAGCTGGGATAGGCTCCAGACCTCCTGCTGCAAGCGGTAACAAAAACTGAATGAATGAATAATAGTTAACAGTGTGAACATATCCTTACATTGCATACTGTCATCCCTACTGTCGGCTTCTTGAAGCTGTAGTGCCTGGCGCCCAGAAACTATCTAATAAACACTGCAGCACACAGCATCCCCATATTCCTTTTTGTCAAGTTTGTCCGAGTTAGCAACAGTAACTAAGGGCAGGACTTTGGATCAGTCAATTTTATTGATTTACCAATGACAAACAACCATAGGTGTAAATTCTTGGGGGGATGCAGAGGACATGTCCCCATCAGTATTAAGAATGTATGCATTTTTACCCCCCCCCCCCAGTAGACATGAGAGTAGCAGAGGACTTTTTGTATTTACCAATACATACAATGCACAAAGTGAAGCATAAAACTTTATCTGAATGCATGTGCAAGTGCAATGCAAGTGTTTGATGCTTACATTTACTGGCAGAGGACCCCCACCCCTCTATTTTATATGTGGCCCACCAATGTTGAAACAAACCTACACCCTTGTAAACAACTGTGGTTTGAATGCTTCAAAGCAATTATTTCAATTTCCATCATTTATAAACCATATGCTAAAACATTTGTTAGAAATCTGCCTCACATTTCTTGGAGACTTTAACACTCCTAAACCCATTACTGTGTGACCTGTGTGTGTCCCAAGCTGCCTGTATAATAAAAAGTTGTCACAAACAGTAATCTGTAAACATTTAAAGTTTAAGGTCATTTCAGCCAGCCAACTCACACGGAACAGATTTATTATGTGATGGCGGAGTATGTGCGGACTTTAGATGTGATGTCTTGGCTCTGACCTCGTCACTCCACTCAGCACAGCAGAGATCGTGGAGTGGAGATAATAAATTTCCCCCTGGGGACTTTGGACTCAGAGCCTCCAGGTGGATACAGGTGGAGAGGCCTCACACCAGCTATTATGCAGAGTCTAGTATGTGTGGGCCACAGCTGCTGTGTGGTCATTTGCTCTTGCAGGAACCTCAGACCACAAGGGGAATTTATTATACTAGACTCCTGCTACAAGTGAGCCAACTGCTGCACAGCTATACCTTAACAAAACACCTCCAACCATTGTGGGTACGATACTATCAAGTAATCTAAATGCTGAAGAATGCACAAAATCTTATCAAATGCCATGTAGCATTGATAAGACGGTGACCATAAGTGTGTGTGTGTGTGTATAGGAAGCTTGAGGTTGGCAGTGAGTGTGGTTGAGTGTATCGGTGCAGAGAACAGGAGCTCAGACGTTTAGATGTAATTATGATATGAAGAACAGTAAAGCGAGCTGTCACATGAACCCATTTGTTTGAGTTGGAATGCTTCTCTAATGTAAAGCCAAACAGGATCTGTGTGGATAAAATGTAAATGTGACTCTCCTGTGTGCAACAAAAGACTTCCCCATGAAGCCAAGAGAACTGGCTGTGTGCGAGGCCGCAGCGTGTTTAAACCATTAAAGCTCATATACAGCGTTACCCTCTAAAAGAAATTGGAGTCCGCAGTGATCTGATAGGAAACCCCAAATATGACATGAGCCGAGGGGGAAATAAGCCACAAAACCAACTGAGCCCAAAACACTTAATACTGAAACATGAGTACTGCTGTTTCACCACAGCATAAACAAGTCATAATGCATTTGTAAAACCAGAGTAAAAATAAGGTTTGCTACTCAAAGTTATCTTTCACATCTACTGGAGAGCAATAACAGCCAGCAGCTTTTGCGGTCCTATAGTTTAATGATATTGTCAACCACACAAACATCTCCTAAAAAGCATAAACTCACATTCCCACATAAATAAATATATGTTAGAGTAACCGGCAAACACTTGAGTTGATTAGGTAAAGCCGTGATCTGGCACAACACCCCGAGTTAACGGCAAAACTGTGTTTCAAGCTGGAGGTGTGTATTGGAGGCTGACAACTGACATAAGTCAGTAAACAGAGTTTCTGAATGGTGGCAGCCGGAGCAGGGAGCGTAGCGCAAACACAGTTATTATTCCAAAAAGGTGTCCCGAAGCAAATGATCAGACTTTTGGCAGGCGGGCTTGCTTATGAAAAACTACTGTACGTAACTAGCAGTTGCAAGTGTTGTCAATGAGCTGTGCAGCAGAAGGGTTAGCACAGTAAAAAGAAACTTCCATTCATTTTCTCCATAGACAGTTTTAGGTGAATCAGAGTTGGAGGACCTCTAAAGCCTGGACAGACAGGAAACTCGCCAAGTTGAATCATCAGAACAAAAAATTGAACAGCTGTGTTATTAAATATCTGCCTCTTTGATAAAAAAAATTGAAGGCACATGGTTTGTAACATAAAAACGTCAGATGAGAAATTAACTACAGCTCCAATGATGCATTTCCAATAAAACAGCTTAAAATTATGTGTTGCAAAGTTCCAGTAAATAAAAGTGGAGGCAGTAACATAAACCTATAGGCTGCTTATATTATCTGGAAGAGTTCTGTATTTTTTTTATCACACAACACTGAGGATGTCATTAAAAGAGATATTTGAAATGAGAATACAGAGTAAGGAAAATAATAATCTGTGTGACAAAGCATCAAGTATATGTGGCGCCCCCAGAAATGTTTCATAGTGTTGGCCAGATGGGGCCACTGAGAATCTTCGGGTGGCACACCAAAACCAAAAGCCATAACTAATGTCAGGAAATTGCTTTTGCTGTTGAAGTATATAGGCTAGTTGAAACTTTTTCACTATAGATTGTTAAGGAATCACATACTGATATACTATAGTTTGTGATTTTAAAGTTGATACGATTCATTATCTAATGGGCCCAGACTAATACCAGTACAGTTAGCATTATGAGCTCTACAACAGTCCTGATTTAATGTGCTGTGTTGGGCAGCAACTATTTAACGGCATTTCTCAGCAGTGTGGTGGTAACGTCAGTACTTTCTGAGTCAGATTTCTGCTGCTTTGCTATTGGTTTTTATTGGCAAGACCCACCCTACTCTGCCTCTGATTGGCTACATTGCAGTTCTTGATTTGTCTCTCATGTGTCTTGCCCATAGACTGTATATATTTAGTGGATTTGCAGTGGACACTTGAAAAATAGACACAACAAGGGCCAAGAAAAGAGCTGAGAGACACAGAACAGTAGTAAGAAGAAAGAGAGGAGAGACATACTGATGTCACGTGTTATTTGCAGGATGTGTTCATGTCCAAATGTCCCCCAAAAAAGAAGAGTTTTAATTTAGATCTTTTATTTTTTATTGCTTTTCATTAATTGGTTTTATTGACTTAAAATATATTTTGGAATTCTGGTTTTTAATTACTGGCAGAGCCAGATAGCTGACTGAAAGAGGCCAAGACAGAGAAATGCATTAATTAGGAAGAGGAGAGAGAAAGAGAGAAGGCAATAGGCCGACTGATGATGTCGTGTTATTGGAGGACATGTTCAAATGTCATAAAGTCTGTTATTTTACAATGAACAGTCCAACTGAATTTGTTTTTTTCCTGCCTATTTGTTTTTCTGACAGTTTTTCTGATCTCTGAGATTCTGCTGCTTTGACATTGGGTAAAAAAGTAAAAGTAGCTTTGCAAGTAGCAAACTACTTTTGCCATTTTCCGTAGCTTATTCAATGTAGTGAAACTTAATTTTGATGTAGAGTAACTAGTAGCTTAGCTCACTACATTTCCCAAGTAGCTTGCCCAACACTGTTAATGTGGTATGTATCTGTGTATACACATGTTGCAAGGTCTTGCTCCTCAAATAGATTGGTTAGTATACAGCTTTTATATGAAAGAGTACTTTGATTTTAAGGAACAAAAGATCTACTAGGAACAAGCCTGCTCAAGATTAGGGGACTAATGGCTATCCAAAGAACCCATTTTCATTCAGATATCTTTAGGAGGGAGGTCAAGAGACCCCTCTGAAAAAGGCCATGCCAGTTGTTTCCATGACAATATTTAGCCTCATTTTGGAGAGGAATTTAGCCCCCTTCCTGCCTACAGGATTGGCACCAGTGAGTGCCTTAGATTTCACAAGACACCAATACGAGTGTGCCACAGCCTCTTTAAGACAATATTGATGGACTCCAGTTATTTCAGCTGGGACAGGGGGGGCAGTTGTATCAAGTGTTTCATATACATAACCAGATAGTTTAACTTGTAGATGAAATATGCTTTGTGTGTGTGTATGTGTGTGTGTGTGTGTGTGTGTGTGGTTTTCAATGTTTTACTTTTGGCACATTTCACAACATGTTTTAATAAATGCTGTGCTGTAAATTTTGGATTTGGATTTTGGATCACAGATTGTGTTTTAATAAAGGTTTATGTTGTGTTACCAGAGTGTGAAGTTATGGTCCCAGAGGAGAAGAGAATCATTTGTTACAGTATCTTACTGAAGCGATTTCAGATCAAATTCCTCCCCAGATGATAACAGAGTAACTTTTTTTTTCTCTTTTACCTTTTTCAGGAAATATGGTGAGCAAAGAGGACACCAAATGCATTGTTCTCTCAAATTCAGATGAATCCGATTCAGAGACAGGCCCATCACACAGCCTCGATGCACAGTCTGGACCAGAATCAGGCAAGCAGCAGGTGAAGAAGAGAAACAAGGCCTTACAAGTGCGTTTTAAGGATATCTGTGACGCTCAGAATGAGCATCGTGGAAAACGCTCTAGATCCATTTCCTGCAAAGTGACACACCGAAAGTACATGACCATGCCTGCCAGACGCTCTATTCCAAATGTTACCAAGAGTACAGGTGTCCAGACATCGCCGGACCTCACTAAGCGATACAAGACTTTCCCTTTTGAGAGGAAAAAGGGACATACATTTAAACATACTGCTTTGGTGGAAGATTATAAAGGACAAAACAATGGTTTTTTGAGTGACATAAAGACGGGAGGAGAGGATGGACAACCTATCGGGGAGTCCTCTAATTACAAGGGTAAGATTGTGGGCCAGACAAAGGCATTGCTTCACCACACTGATGACAGCAGTGATACAGAGGATTTGCTTTCCAGTGCCAACTGTGTGGATGGACCCTCTTGTCCAGACTCTTCACATTTCTCGGAAGAGTGCCATCCGAGCAGCCCTCCTTCCAAAAGAGAAACAGAGTACCAGGTTTGTGGGACAAGGACCAAACACAAAGGATTACCCAAAGAAGACATGGACGCTGGCACTTCCTCAAAGCGCCAGCTGGCTAACTCAGAGTTTTCACAGGAAAAGTCAAAGGGCACAGGCCCTGTCGCTTGGAACTCTTTGACACAGGTGGAGTCTTTAGGAAGCCCGTCTGTGAGCTGTAAACGGAAAAAGGGCACACAGCTAAACGAACAGCAGTCACAGACACTTCCCCATAGTGCCAAATGTTCTGTGCAGTCACAAGGGCAGTGTCGGACAAGGCATGTGTCAGCCTCCTCTAAACTCCAGCAAACAGTTGGGGGGGATGAGGGCTTTCCTCCAAGAGACACAGGAGCCCCGGGCATGGGGAGCAGCCAGCAGATAATGCCCTTATCTGGAGACAAGGATATCAAAGCACAGCTGCAGGCCATGGAGAGCCTCATCAGCTCAAGCCAGGAGACCATCAAGGTCCTACTTGGAGTCATTCAGGAGCTGGAGAAAGGTGAAGCGCAGAGAGAGGGGTGAGTAGAGGAAGCTTTACAAAGCCGTGACTTTTATACATGCAACCAAACACGCATTAAACACACAATGTACATGTCACAGTGTGCTGTCAGGAAAAACTATGACAAAAGGTAATTCCAAGTCTTGAGTCCTGTAGCTTTGGCCATCACTCCTATTGGTTATCAAACAATGAATCGCCAAAGAATGGATGTTTACACTGGGCAATTTTTGTTAATGACTTCATAGGATCCCCTAGGTTTCTCTTCAAGATAAGTTAACCTGTGATGTTTGTTTAAATGCTGCACTGATGTCTGACTGCTGGTGTTTCTCAATCTGTCAGATTTCTTTTTAGCTCTATCACTGGGTTCCCAGATTTCAGCCAGCCCAGTTTCCAGTAGAAAATGTTGGCATTGTACATTTCAAACAAATCACATCAGCGTTTCTGAAGTGATGTGGTTCAGATTGCTTGTTTATGAGCAGAGTTTCTAATGAGGAGGAGGAGGAGAGGATGGTGGATGGCATGAGACCTAGGTGAGATGGCAAGTGGCAGACCACTGCTTGACACCAGCTTTGTTTGTGGTGTTGAAAGTTGGTATTTTTAACGACGCGGCTTGACATTACCAGCAGTGTTTGTGGCGATAAAAGCAAATATTTATTGACATGTCTATCCATGGTTGTGGTGACAAATCCGGATGTTCTAAAGCCAAAACGATCTTATCCTGACCCTTACCAGCTAATCATGTTAATCACAGCAATGTCACAACATAAATTTGAAAACTGAAACACAACGAAGCATTAAGTTTCAATATATTGGCTACATATGAAACTTACAAATGTATTGTATCTATGGTTTGCAAATATACAATGCCAAGACTTATTCTGTCAATTCAGATGTTTCGGCAATGAACATTGTAAGCGCAATGTCATTGTGAGTAATTGCAATCATAGCCTGAGCCACAAATATAGCACGTAAGTTGTTTGGCATGTATGTTTACTATCTTAGTTTAGCATATTAGAATGCTAACACTTGCTAATTAGCACCAAAAACAAAGCACAGCCAAGGTTAATGGGAGTGGCATTAGTTTGCAGATATTTGGACGTGCACTGAATTGTTGAAACAGAAATTTTAACCTTCATGATTGCACTAGATGACTGGTGTACCAAATTTCACAGCAGGTCATTGAATATTTAAATATATGTCAATAAAACCCTAAAAAGTCAACCTTATGATGACACTAGAAGAAACATCAGGCTTCACCCTTTGGGAGCCATGGATATCTGAGCAAAATGTGCTGCCAGTCCATTGAGTAGATGTTGAGATATTTTGCTGAAAGAGTGAAGACTTTGATCTGCACATGGCATTAGAGCAACAGTGGGAAAATTACCAAGCCATACCTCTAGCATAGCTAAAAAAATGGTGTGATATGATCAACCGTCAAGGTCTAATGGGACACTCCAGACACAGAGCACAATACCTGTTAGCACTGTCTCTCTCTCTCTCTCTGTAAATTTAATGCAAGAGCAAGAGCACCTCTAGTGATTCTTTATGTGTCATATTTCATTAGAGATGTACCTGTAAAGGAGAAAATGCATTAACAAGCTTCATAAAGTCCTCATGCCATGTCCGCAGCCAGACTCACAAGCATCGCAATCGTAAGAATCAATGTACTCCATCTCTAAAACCCATAGCAACACAAAGCAAATTGTATTTAAGTCTTATCCATATCCAGTGGAGAACAAGACACCCCAGTGTGGCTCTGTGGAACTTGGTTTTTAAAGGCCCAATTAGTGCAGCCTCATAACGCTTTGCCTTTCATCTCCGCAAAACGGAGCCTGCTATAGTGCCTTCACTGCGTGTTGTGTTCCTTCAGCATTATTAGAGAGGTGCAGTTACAGGATGCAAAGCCTGCCGTCCACAGTATGTTCCCAATACTCTTCTTTTTTTTGCATGGGTGGACAGACAGATAGCCTTCTGTAAAGCTGCACTTTGAGATGAATCCAACTAAAAGCCTCGCTGTTCTCACCAGGAATAAATACATGATGTCCAGTCATTTTGTAAGCCGCTGATTTAAGCATACTGTACATGCAGAGTCAGTAATGTAATGGTCCAGCAAAGGTATAATGCGTTTCCTCCATTATACTGTTTGAATTGGAAATGATATATATTACAAAATATCCCACTTCTCCATTGTTTTGAATTTTTCATGCCCATGAACTAACCACAAAAACAAAGAAAAATGTTTCCTGCAAAAGTACAACAGGAACTTAAAATGCACACACTCATCTGTTTCACATCTCCTAAAGTTTTGATGAGGTCACACTTATCAATGACATCCTGCAAAAAGGAACTACAAACAACGCATTCACGTATCATCTGTTTCACATCCCTTCATGTTTTCCAAAACTAAAGCAGAAGCGGGTCAGGCACTGTTGATATTACGGCTGTTCTAGATTCTTAACTCAATCACAGCATAATGAATATATCTGAAAAGCCCGACCAGCTTGTATGCATTATGTAAACTTTGTGTTCAAGGTCTTTGTCTTGAAGTGGTTGCAAGACAGATAACAACACAGTTACACACAGAATAGTCTGTTGCATGACCTTAGATTTTATAATAGCAGCGCATAGCTTGATGTGTGATGCATGCCAACTCTAGGTTATACTGTATTGATAAAACTGCCATAATACTGATATGCATACACAATTATACACAATAATAGGGGTGTGTACCCATGCCAGTCACAATGCTGCATCAATTAGTCGCAAAATGATGTCTGTTGTGTGTGTATATTATAAGCAAATGTGTCTAACAGAGGACCACATGCAGTATTTACCCCATATTCAAAGCAAAGCATGTCATGTTAGACAATGTGCTGTGATGTGATTATAGTTTTTGCTCACGGGATATCAATAAAAACATAAAATACCATGCAGTGCTCAGGCAGGGAGAGCAGCAGGCACGTAGGCAGGGGGTGTGGACAGTAAAACTGGAATGACGAGGGCAGGACATATCCCAGGACAGCTGACGTGGGCAAACAACACAGCAGTGAATCTGTGCCAACAAACAGTCAGCTTAGAGAACGACTTTCAGAGGTGCAGTTATTTTTTTTTCCCATGAAGCATCTATGAAATCATCCTCTGTGACATTCTGTGCTTTTTAATGCAGTGACATTATATTGGGTCATGAGCATTTTATCCTGAATGGGGAAAGGAAGTGTGTGTGTTTTTACAAGCGGTGATTATGAATTTAGGTTAATACCCTTTGATTATTAGAGCGAAGCTCTTTAAATTACAAGGATGTACATGAAAATCCGGGCAGCAGCACAGCACTAGTGTGGAGCTTGTCTGTGCAGTGAGTTACTGTCCTTGCTCACAGCTGTTCAGAGAGACTTCATTTGGGAACAGGGCAGGATGGATGAACTTGTTGACCTTGAGCTCCCATCAGCGTTTTCGATCCACGCGCTGTTCTGTCTCCCCCAATGAGGTCACCTCTCATGTCATGGTGAGCAGTTGAGGTCCAACCCCTCCACATGTCATCCAACAGGGTGAACGGCTGCCATGACAGCAAGCAATTACATGTGCAGCTCTAACGCAGCCCCTCCCATCGTCCCCCAGCACTGCAGCCTGCCATTGCATGCAGTGACTTATAGCGCAAATAACAACATGCGGAGCTGCATGCTTATGTCATTAGAAATATGAATGAAAAACTCCAGATATGGACGATGCGGACTGATACAACAAAACCATTGTATATTTAGTGTTTCATCTTTGACATATGGACGCATAAGCCTCCGTCGTGCCCGGAGAGATGGCTTAAGTAGGTCCTTTGTGGAGGTCTTTCAACATAATAAATTACAACTCTTATACGGTAAAGACAACAGACCCTCAGGGCTGTGTACCTATGCCATAAACAGAGCAGATACAATTTGTCTTGTTGATTGCTTTTTTCGAATCCTTGATGTTCATTATGTCCACAGCAAATTGAGTTGCATGAGGAATAAAAAAGATGTACAATATAGCCTCCATTTAAAGTAACGATTTTTCATTACATATGATTCATGCAGCATTGCGTTACTACTTGCTTCCTATTTCCTATTTCCTATAGGATACAGACACGGAGTACATTTTAAAACTCTGTCGTGGCAAAGCAAAATAATCCTGTTATGTAAAATCAGCAAGTCTACACACTTGATTAACCAAATCTGAGCAAATTACAGGATCAGAGCCCTTGCTGCATTTTCAACTGTTAGGAAAAAACAACACCAGCTAAAAAAACAACAAGCTGAACAAATTTTGTCTGATAGCTGATGCCCACAGGTGTTGAAATATGGAAGCTCAGGCCTGTCACTGGAGATCACATATATCTTTTTCATCTCTCTTTTCACAGACTCACCTACCGAACAGGACAAGACACAGCGAACTGTGACACTTGTCGAAACAGTGCGTGCATCATTTACAGGTGGGCTCTTTTCACTGCCAGTGTGTCGTTAATGCTGCATTAGATGCTGTTTTCTGTATGATAATTTGGTTCAGTGTGACAGGGAATGCTTAGAGGTGTTTGGTGCAGTGATGCTTTGCTTTGCAGAAAATGTAAAGGGTAATGTATGTGTGTATGAGTATTGCATTTCCAGTGGTTTGACCAAGGGCTCATAAATGTTCAACATTAGATACGGACACGGACGGAGCCTTCTGTCTGTATTCTGCATTCATTTAATTTCATATTTGTGAACGTTTTCAGAAAAGCATATGGATACAGGCAAAAAAAGAGTGGTACCACTGAAAATTGTGGGGGTATTGTAGAGTAGTCCAAGCAAGACATGACCCACAGGGCATAACAAGATGACGAGGAAATGTTAAAAAAATGGCAAAACAGAACAAATTGGTAATATATTGAAGACAACTGACCTTTTTTTAAGCCCCGCCCCTTTGTGATGGTCCCTCAAGCTGTCGGAGTAAGCATGGAGCCCACACTGTAACTAACTGCACTCCCTGAAGAAATATTATCATATTTTTGAACAAATGAAACAGTGATTCCAGAGAGAAGCAGACAGAGGGGTCTACAGTCTGTGTTTGAAGGATATATCCAGGATGTCAAACTGACTCAGCAGCAACAACAGGTTAAAAAGACAAAGATAGTTAGAAGCTAAAGCCGAACTATAGGCTACAGATCACAGTGTAAAAGTCAACCATCACATCACTGCTGATCGCCACACAAGACAATGGGTCTCATTCATGAAACGTGAGCAGAAGGAATTTGTGTGTAAACTGTTCGCAGACGGAAATTTACATGCGTGTCCGCATTCATCAATATTTTAGTAGCTCCGATCTTTTCGTAGCTACTAACAAAATCTACTTCTGCTCCTGACCACTCATAGTGCATGTGTAAATTTAGTAAAGCACATAAATATTGCTTGTCACTATTGGAAATTACAATTTTAATTCGTATTGCGCTCTGTTATGTACACAATACACAGGTGCCTTTGAAACACGTAATCTAAACATGACAAAAATATTAAAAATATAACACATTTAGTTAAATTAGTTGGCAATTAGCAAGTTTAAGATCCAGATTAGGTTCATGATTGTGAATTATCTATGTAAATCGACTCAATAGATTACACGTTCTTACATGTTGAATGATGATAATAAAAATGTCCGTAAGGACAGCCGGATCACAGCCTCTTCGGCCTTCGGCCGTTCCCACTTCATTCAAAACCCCACAAATGAATCTTCTGTTTGTTTGGTGACCGCTGTATTTTTTGTGTGTGCTTATAGGCCATAAGGTGAACGCAGTTATCGTTTCATCTCGTTCCGACATCTGGGGACTACACGATCTTTACTTCATAAAAAAGATCGATACATGTTCAGCTAATCAGCGGGAGTTCGTAGCTCATAACCCCGCAAGAGTCCTGTGATCGGGGTCATAATTCGGCACTTGTTCCGTCTGAGCGTAATGATCTGTTCCGCCTGAGCATTATTCGCTGGGTCGGTGGTGAAGTGGCGCTCATGACTCGCCACGACAGACAGCCACGTATCTTAAACAGGCAATACATCTGGCTACATCTTTCCCACATCAAATATCCGTGATCACCTACACCCGCGTGTGTAAAAGTGCACACAATTCCATGTCCTCTCACCGCAGATGCTGTGATTTGATGGCCCGGTACTCACTGTAGCCCACTCTTAGATGTCGGAGCGGAAATCAGTTTCTGTGAGACTTTTTCTGATTCACTTTACGGCCTGTTATGCGTTTCTTTGCCTCCAGTTTCATATCAAACCATTTACGCTTCACCTCTGACATGGTTCTTTGTACTACAGAGACAACATTAACAGCATCTGTTACCTCCCTCCAGGCCTTCGCTTTGCCTGTCCCTGTCACACCACTACTAACTGAAGAAAATAAAATGTTTTTTCTTAAGTCCACTTCACCCAAAATTATTTCGATCTCCGCTTCGGAAAAATTCTTTTTTCTTTCACTCTCTTTCTTTGTTTGCGCCATGACTGACAGGTCGACAGGATGCACCTACACCTCCTTATATGGTGGTCATTGGCTATTCATGGGCGGGGATTTATGCTAATTGCTGATTACCGGGAGCGCGCTGTCACTTTACCATGGATTGGCATTCATGATCATACACACTTGTTTATGATCAAATCTGAGTTTCCCGCGGTGTTCTTGAATCCTGAGTAGGTTTTTAGTAGAGTAGGCTTTTATGTGCAAATCTACACACAGATTTACTCACGTTTCATGAATAAGACCCAGTGAATATAAAGGGAAACTTTGCTGATATTGAACCAGCTGTGTGGCATCACAGTGTGTGCAGATGAACAGTGTTTGGCTTCGCCCCCGTGCCGCAGCCAGCACCCGGACCTCCACCATTGGACGGGCAGGGATCTCCATGGGAAGTCAAACAACGTTCATCTGCGCACACTGTGATGACACACAGCTGGTTGAATATCAGCAAAGTTTCCCTGCTTCCCTTCACTGGTTCCTGTACAGCAGGGTCGGTCTTTTTTTCACTGTTATAATCATTAAAAAGCAAAAGCAGCATGTGTATACATTCAGTAGGCTATATCTTCAGTAGCTAGCTAGCTAACCCTACACTTTTCAGGGTTTGATTTTGGTTTTGGAACAGGGAAGAAACGTATATCTTTTTCCAACCTCTCCCGGTAACGAGTATCATTAATACACGACGTGCCCCAGGCACAACATTTAGCTCCAAATCCACAAAACCAGCCCAAATGAAGGAAATCTGAAACGATTGCAGTCAATGGAGTACAGCTGTATTGTTGTCAGACCCAGATGCTATGTTAAGATTGTCCAGTCTGCATCCGGGGGCGGGACTTAGCGAAGGGTCAAATGTCTGTCAACATGATGTGATGCATTTAATGGCTTCACAGACCACCATAAATACAACACTGCCTCCTATCCTATGACAACCTCCTCCAGCTTCGTTGCCTTGTTTGTTGTTGTCAGAAGCATTTCAATCTGCTCTCTAGTGCCATCATGTGAAGGTATCTTTGCCAGCAAAAAGGATACATAGAAGTATGTGGGCAGTGCTGTTTACAGCGTTTGAAATCTATGTAAAGGGAACATAAATTAGCCTTAAGGCAAGAAAGATGTTATAAGGAGAATTATAAAATAAGCATCAGGGATATGGAAAAAATAACTCAAAGTAGTCAGTGTGCAGCTACTGGCAGTGCTGTACATAGTATATTGGGTGTTGCTCTGTAGCATGTTTTCTACAAAGGGTGATAAAATAGATAATACCTCCAATATCATTTGCTAGGGTTTCTGGGGGATGTGTGGCCTCAGTGTAATGAATAAGTAATCATACACAGCAGTGGGAAGTGAATAAGATAGGATAGGAAATACAGTTGACCCTGTTGCAGACAATATGAGGACCTACAGTTTTATCACGTCCCATAAAACGTGTCAGGGTGTTTTTTAGAAACAAAGGCTGGAGCTCTCTGGATTCTTTCGTTTTGTTATTTTTAAGAGGCACAGTATTTCTGTCAAAACACACAGCGGATTTGTGTGGTGTAAGTGTTCTGATATGTTCTTGGCTAAGACAAAAAAAAGAAATGACTCGGAAGCAGGTGGGAAATCCACTCAAGCTGTAACCTTGTGTCATTTGTCACTTCAGTCCAAAAGCCTCTTCCACTGAACCCGCTTGTTACCTTGTTCTCTACAACAGGAAACAGACAGCTGTTTGGGAAATACACTGCAGATGATTCACTCTGTCTGCACAGTGGGACTCCTGGGTTGTTTCCACATGGGCCAGAGTGAAAGTAGCTTACAAACAAAATCACAAATTATAGATGGACACTTTGCATACTCTCTGAACATGAAAGTTTGCTGCAGTAAAGGGATCTTCCTCCCAACTTCTGCTTCTCTTTTTTTAACATAATATACTGCACTGTAATAGAGACAGCAATACAATAAGAGTTGTCCAGTCTTACTCTGCTGTCCTTTTGGACTATTTTGGATAGATTTTATTTATTTACAACACCTAGAATACTCTGAACTCATATCTGTAACATTTCTTACTGCAACGAGAAGGAAAACTGCCCTGTCCTGGACACGTTTTCCAGGATTTTTGCTTTATGTAACATTTTCAACAAGATGCCTCCTCTCTCTTTTCCCTCGACGGGTGCATTGTTTCAAGCTGACCCAGATTGTGCTATAAAACCATATTGGAACTTGAAAGCAGGATCTCCATTTCATATCAGATACAGGGGGATGAGAAATCATTGAGCCTCACAGATTTGTTCTCATGCAAGTGTCGCATGACAGGTCATGTCGTACAAGTCATGTACAGATAATCTGCCTTCTCCGCGGAGGGAAGAGAACTTGTTTGACTCAGAAATTATAATGCCTGCATTTGAATGAATTTAAATTAAATTCTAAAGTCTGCTAAAACAAAGAAAATATAAAACCTAATTTGATACAAAAGGAATATTCTCGCACTACAGCAGCTGCCTCGGGGTTTAATGAACCTCCTCCGTTGCACCTGGCACTATAACATCACCTATAATGAAATGTATTCTCTCGTCCATCTCCATGACTGTCACATCCCCTTGACCGCCTCCCATTTAAGTCATGGACTGCTTTGCTCTTGCAGGACACTTTTTGGCATGTCAAACCATTCTTTATGTGTGACTCTGTTCAGACGACAGCTGTAGTAATATTTTCTCATGTTTGGGTCCTCTAATACCATTGACGCTGCAACAGTTTTTAGCTTTTAAAGTCTAGACCTAAAGATCCTCAATTATAATTATGATTATATGATGAAGACTCAAGAACAGGTGGTATTTATCATGTTAACGTGGAACACAAGCAAGGAGAAAATGGTGGAAAGTGGACGAACTTAACATCACAATGCACCTCACATTGAATCTGGGTTGCACACTAATCAAGACCTACTGGTTATGAACCCCCCAGCTGACCCAGACATG